CCTGGGGCTGCCCTCTTGCTCCTCAGGGTGTTTGGGGTAGGGAGTTCCTGGGAAACTGGCAGTCCCAGGTTCAGGTGCCAGAGTTGGGGAAGCAAGCGAGCACCCCACCCGCCATCTGGAAGGGTGGAGATTGTGAAAGGCCCTGGCTGCTTCCAGCCAATCCGTGCACAGCCAGCTCCCTCCACTTCCCCCGAGGAGAGAGAGCTGGCAGGAGGGGACCAGGGAGGGACCCGGGAGGCCAACCGACCTGGCTCCTTACAGAAGTATAGGAGCGTGCCCTGTGCCTGCTCCTCTGGGCAGGATGTCCTAGATGCCCAGTGGGGTCAGGGCATTGTTGCATGTGCCTGGCTTTACCTCTGAGATGTCCTAGGAGGCCGAGACACTTCTCCTCCGTCCCCAAGAGCCCCAGAGGGCCCCATATTCCTCATCCAAACCCCCTCTCCCAGCCCTCATCTTGGGCTCCAGACTCCGGGGTCCAGTTTGGGTGAGAGTTGATTAACCACAGCAGGGAGCCCCACAGCCCCTGAGAGAGGCCACTTCAGCTCCCTTTCTCTCTCTCTCCCCTTCCAAGCCCCTCTGCTGGGGTGGAGGGCCTGGGCATTAGGGATCCGGAAAATGCCCGTCCCAGGCTGAGCCCTGGGCCCCGCTCTGGTCCTCTTCTCAGAGTGCAAGATTGAGCACTGCGAGACCTGCTTCAGCCATAACTTTTGCACCAAGTGTAAGGAGAGCTTGTACCTGCACAAGGGCCGCTGCTACCCGGCCTGCCCCGAGGGCTCCAGCGCGGCCAATGGCACCATGGAGTGCAGCAGTCCTGGTGAGGAGCAGGGGGTGGGCAGGATGGTGGGGGGCGTGGAGACAGGATGCTGACCAGGGAGACTGTGGGCCAGGAAAGTTCACCAGCTTCTCTCAGGACGTCTCTGCCCGCTGGACTGAAGGCTGGCACCCCGCCCCCCCCAGGGTGGGTCACAAGATGCAGGGCTTGACCAATCACTAAAAGACCCCCCACCAGGCGGCTGGGCAGACAGGCTGGGGAAGCTCCTCGGTTGCAGTTGTCCTCTGCCACGCAGTGGGTGGCCAGAGTTTGGACTCACCCTGTGGCAATAGGTTTGGGGCTAAAGCTGCTTCAGTCTGAGGCGCAGGACAAGAGCAAATGGGACAGAAGCTCCCTTTGGTCTTCTGGGCTGGGGGCGGGGTGGGGTGGAGCTGGGGCAGGGGGCAGGGGTGGGGGTGGGGAGAGCCACGACCCTGCTCCCTCTCTTCCCTCCCTTCCGGCAGCCCAATGTGAAATGAGCGAGTGGTCCCCATGGGGACCATGCACCAAGAAGAGGAAGCTCTGTGGTTTCCGAAGGGGCTCCGAGGAGCGGACTCGGAGGGTGCTCCACGCTCCTGCTGGGGATCACGCCGTCTGCTCTGACACCAGGGAGACCCGCAGGTGCACCGTGCGGAGGACGCCGTGTCCTGAGGGTGAGCGTCAGCCTCCACCCCTGAGGGGTCAGGGCCTGGACCACCTGTGCCCTCTGCCCAGTGCCCCGGAGAGGGCCTCCCTTGGATGGGGGAGAGGCCTGGGAGGGGGTCCTGGCTGAGAGAGGAAGCTCTGACTCTGAAGGGCCCTGTGATCGGTGTCTGCGGCTGTCCCTCTGAGTCCACAGACACGGAGCTCCAGGGGCCCGCACCGCCTGCAGTGGGCATCAGGGGGTGCTGGCTCCCTCACGGGTCCCAGAGGGAGGAGGGGGCTTGCTGAGAGCTGTGCTGAACCCTGGGATCAAGCTCTGAAGGAGACACGAGGATGAGGAGGGGGCCTTTGGGGGGTGGCGGGTTGTGGTGCCCAGGCTCCCAGGCCTCCCTCTCGATCCTCATGTGGATGGGTCCTTAGAAGCAGCTGCTGGTCAAAATGGGCCTTGAGGCGACCCTACCTCTGCCTAAGGGAAGCGTCCCCAGACCTCCTCTCCGTTCCACCCAGCTGGCTCCCCACTCCCACCCCTCCCTGCTGTCGGCAGGACAGCCTTTGTGGATTCTTCCTTCTGTTGAGGTTGCAGGGCAGAAGAGGAGGAAGGGAGGCCAGGGCCGTCGGGAGAAGGCCAACAGGAACCTGAGCAGGAAGGAGAACAAGGAGGCGGGCGCTGGCTCCCGGAGGCACAAGGGGCAGCAGCAGCAGCAGCAGCAGCAGCAGCAGCAGCAGCAAGGGACAGTGGGGCCAGTCACATCTTCGGGGCCCACCTAAGGACAACATTCAGCCTCCGCGGCCCTGCAGAAGGAGCCCAGAACTGCTCTGTGCGATTGTGCGATGAAAGCCTTCCTGACCTGGAGCAATCGGGGCAATGTGTGTACACACACACACACACACACACACACACACGCACACTCCGTACATACACAGTGTACAGACCCTGTGAACCCCATGCCCAAACAGACATCCATCAACACACACACGTCCAAACCCATATCCTAACGTACAGCCATACGCACATGCACTTATGTACACACACATGCACATGTCCAAACATACAATTATACACACATGCACCTGTGTACAGACAAACAGACAGACACACACACTCACCTTCTGTCTCTAGACCACTGGGAGCTGTCCCCTCTCCTTGGACATCACTACGTGAAGAGGCAGGGGTAGCAGAGAGCCAGCGGCACCCATCTGATTGAACACATTCCCAGTGGACACGAGGGAAAACATGGCTGAGTGGGCCGCTTCTGGAGAAGCTGATGGGCTTGGCCGGCGTGGCAGACCAAGAGGCAAAACGTGAGGACTGCTGGGACCCTGAAGAATCTGCCTTCCCACCCTCCTCAGCCGTGTGACTGTGGTTGGGGAATGCACGTTACACACCCATGGCACCCACCAGGGCTGACTGAACTCTGGAAACTGCCTAGAGATTTATTTCAAATTAAAAAAAATGACAACGGTAGCCATAGGTAACACATTCCTTCTCAGGGTGCAGAGATGGGTGGGGCACACCCAGGGGGGCGGGGGAGGGGTGGGCAAGAAGGAACAAGGCTTCATATCAAGACTCCAAGGGCTGCCTGACCTCAGACGTACTGCCATCGGGTCGACTCTGGCTCTTAGTGACCCCATAGCACAGTGTAGAACTGTCAGGGTTTCCAAGGCTGTAGTTACAGCCTTACTGTTCACAGGAGTAGAAAGTCTCATCTTTCTCCCCTGGAGCAGTTGGTGGATTCGAACTGCTGATGTTGCGGTTAGCAGCCTAACTCATAACCCATTATGCCACCAGGGAAATGGCCTCCTGGATAGTGGATCCAAAACCAACACCCACTGCTATCAAGTCCATGCTGATTCACAGAGACCCTATAGGAAAGGGTAGATGTGCCCCTCTGCGTTTCCAGATCTGGAACTCTTTCGAGGAGTCATCTGAGGCAGGAAGAAAACCTTGGGGACACTTGTGAGTGGGAGCCAGTTCTCCACACCCTCGTTACTTAGAGTGTGGTCTGTGGACTGGCTGTGCGTTAGCGAGGGGGCTCTGTGTAGCCTGCACATCCACGTTGAGAAGCGCTGCCCCAGTGAATTACCTCTAAGCTCCCATCGAACAGGGTCTGGACAGGGCAATGGCCAAGGGCTCGGCAGCTGACTGAAAGGTCAGTGAATCGAACCCACCAGCTCTTCCACGGGAGAAGAGTCCTGGTGACCTTTGCCCAGGAAGGTCACAGCTGGGAAACCCTGTGGGGCAGTGCTCTCTCTTGTAGGGTCACTATGAGTCAGAGCCCACCACAGCGAGCGTCCGTCAAGGACCTGGGGGCTCCATGGGAAGTGCTCAGCTGCTAACTGAGAGGTGGAAGGTACCAGCGGCTCTGTTTCTGTGAAGATTACAGGCCAGGAAGCTTCTGGGCAGCTCTGTTTTGTCACACGGGATTGCAATGAGTCAAAATTGGCATCTAACAAGCTTCCAGCTAAGGATGAGGCAAGAGGGACTCAGTACAGAGCCAGGGCTTTGGGGTGACTCTAGTGGGGGAGCTATATACTGAAGGGATGCAGTGGCACTCTTAGGGGGGAGGGCGCTCCTCGACTCGCTGAGATGCGTTGGAGACAGTTCTACCCCCAAACTGGGCAGGGGATGGCATGACGGGGCATTCTGGTGGCTTTTGTATGCCAGGCCCCAGACTAGATGTTCGATTTCCAGTGGGTCCTGCCCGTACTGAATTTAGAGATTAGTTAGGGGACACCAGTGAGCATCGGGTAGTCCTACAACTGTCTGATTACAACCACACACACAGCTATGAAATAAAGCTTTATCCCAGGGTGCCTGCTGCAAGGAGGTGCCATCTGAGCCAAGCTCTAAAAGGTGAAGGGTTGGGGCAAGAGGAGGAGGGGTAGTCTAGCCCAGGGCTGCCCACCGAAACAATGCCAGCCACATTCTCTAGTTCATTTTAACTTCTAAGTGAAATATACGCAAAGGATTACTTTTCCACATGTAATCAATATAAAAATTGAGATTACTTACACTTTTTTGAGCCGTGTCTCCAACCTTCTGTGTGTGTATTTTGTACTTACAGGATAGCTCAATTCAGAGACCACATTGTGACCGGACACGCACCTTTAAGACATTTAGGCGTTCTAAGAATTACAGCGGCAAAAGGAAATTCACATGCTGGGCTTGTTCTGAACATGTTGAATGGGTTTTCTGGTACCAGAACTGAATGACCTTTCCAAAATTGAAGTGTGGATGAGCATTAACAGGAGCCGCTGTAGTGGCCCTGGCGATGGCTGGGGTGTTCAGTAGCCTGATGTGGCGAGCGGCCGCTGCATTGGACAGCATCGTTCTAGATCAAGGACATGCAAGTGTCCTGTGGCTGAGAGGTGGTTGGTGTTTGGGGAAGTGTAAGGCGGCAGCGTAGCTGGGAAGTTCAGGGGACAGATGTGCCAAGGTGAGATGGGAAGAGCCTCTGGAGTTTCCTCTTTGTTCTCAGAGCCCAGGGAGGCTGGTGCGGAGGGCTCTGGGCATCTGGGTGAGGTGACGGAGGCTTGGATTAGAAGCTGGGTTTCCAAACTTATTGCGCTTACAACCCCCTTCTCAGGGAAAAAATAAAAAAGTTACTCAACACTACCACCCCCAACCCCGGCAATGAAAAGATGTTGTACTGCAATCCAGGATAAAGCCTAGGCATCTGCTTTGGCAGCACCTCCTGGATCATGCCAGCACCCCCCAGGGGAGCAGTATCACCGACTTTGAGAAACACTGGTCTAGAGAGTAGTACAGTAAGACCCCCAGCCCCCACCCCCAAAAAGCAGGAAGCTGCCTATAGTCATCCATCAGAGACGGAAATCTCAAATCTTTGCCAAGAAAACGAGCGATGGAAAGATGATAAGACTGTACGTTGTCCAAAACTCGCGCGACCCAGACAATCCAGGCAGTCCCGTTGAGTTTCGCCTCTGACAGGTTTCCCTTTCGGGGGAAATGGAGGGAACTGGACAGAGCCAAAGGGGAGGGGTGTGAAGGAGAGGTGGGTCTCAAGGATCATATCCCTGTTTCCGGCTTGATTGACCCCCACAGTTGGTGATGCAGAAACAAGGAGGAGGAACACATTTGGTTTTGACAGTGAACGCTGTGAAGACAGCCGGTGAGCAGGCGTTGTGGATGCAAAGGCAGACTGAGCGTGCTGGGGACACCTGGGCTGACAATAAATGGGGCGGAGAAAACGGTGGAGGCTATGGGTTTGGGAAAGACTGATGACAAAGAGATTGCTGGACCAAGAGAGGAGGCCTGGGGGTGTCGCAGTTAAAGTGTTTGGCTGCTAACAGAAAGGTGGGCAGTTCAAACGCCCCAGAAAGATATGCCAGTCTGCTGTCAAGATTTGGAACTCCGGAAAGCCTGTGGGGCAGTGCTGCTGGGCCCTATACGGTTGCCATGGGTCAGAATCGACTGGATGTCAATGGGTTTGATTTTCACTGGGGATGAATGAATTTATACGAATATAAAAATATAAAGATCGGGTCATGGAGGCGGAGGCGGCCGAGCAGTCGGCAGATGTGGCCAGGAGGGACAAGGGAAGCCAGGGGCAATAGGATGTCCCGGAAGATAGCTAAAAGAGGGAGAGAAATCAAGAGGTTCAAAAGCTGCTAGTTAATAAAGTCAGGTCTGGGAAAGGACCCCTGGGCTTCACTATACGTATGCTAGTAGTAGCCCCAGCGAGAGCTGTCCTGGGAAAGCGATGAGAACAGAAATCAGTACAGACAATCCCTTTAAGAAGGCAGGCTGGCTCCTGGGGACCCCACAGGACAGAGGAGAACTGTCCCGCGGGTTTCCCCGACGTGGCTCCTTACTCCTTACGGGAGTAGAAGGCCTCCCGGTCCGGATGTGAAGAGGAGGCAATGAAGGGGACGGGCTGGAAGGAGAGGTAGTCCGAGGGTTTTTTTATTTTTATTTTTAGGATAGGAGGAAAAAGATGAGCAGGTGAAAGCCTCCTGGGAAGGGCCCCGTGCAGAAAAGAGGTTACACACAGGAGGGTGAAAACAAATCGGAAGGGACATCCCTGAGAAGATGGCAGGGCTGCGCTGCGAGGGAGGTGGCGCCCAGCACGTGGGTTAGCAGTGGGCCTCGGCCAGGAGCAAGGAGAGGGCTGTGCATGGGGAGGCGGGTTGGTTTGGAGCTGGGCGGAGAACACATCTGTGTACCTGCCACTCTGCAGGTCCAGTTCCACTCACCGTGTGATCCCCTTCCCCGACAGCGAGGACTTGGAGCCCACGCCAGATCTGCCATCCCCTGCCCCCAGCTCCTCGCCGTGCCTCCTGGCCCGGTCCTGTCTGGCTCTGTCTTTGTGCCTCTGCTTCCATCTTTGTCCCTGCCTGGACTCTGTCTCGGTTTGTGGCTTCTCTGTCTTTGTGCCTCTCTGTTTCCCTGACACGCTGTCCCTTTCAGCTTCCACCTCAGCCTCTGTGCGCGCGTGCGCGCATGTGTGTGCGCGCGTGTGCACGCACACCTTCCTGGCTTCACCTTCAAGATCTGTGTGTCTTGGCTGTCTCCAGCTCTCATGAGCTCCTTCTCCCAGATTCTGAAGCCCTCGAGACCAAAGTGTGGCCACACACAGGCAGCCTCCACACCATCCGGAAGGGAGCTTGTTAGAAACACAGATCTCAGGTCCTGCTCTGGATTTAGTGCATCCGAAACTGCCTTGTAACAAGATCCCCCAGGTCATTCATGCCCATATTAATGTTTCAATTGTGGACAAAGATTCATGAAGCTATTCTCTGAAAGAACATCAACCACAACTTTTCAGAATATTAGCCACATCAAAGAAGGTTCTAGATCTCCCTGCATCACCTGTACTGCCTGGGTGACGCTCCGAGCCATCAAAATCGCAGAGAACAAGATTCTCTGTGTCATCTCCTGAGCCCCCTAAGCCCCGGAAGCTCTCGGCAGGCAGAGACGGAACGTAAGAGGAGCTTCAGGAGTCCCTCGATGCACACCTGATGCCTCAGCTTCCACACCTGCAAACTTACCAGAGGAAGGAAGGGCACTCTCCCTGCTGCTGACACTGGGGGGCCTTGCAGGGGAGGTCCCAGTGCATCTCGGAAAACAGGGAGCCCCGCCCAATCTCAGGGATGGGGGCAAGGAGGCCTGCTGGTACAATAGTTTAAACACCTGGGTTCTAAGTGAAAGATTGGGAGTTCAAACCTACTAGCCACTGCATGGAAGAAAGATGTGGCAGCCTGTTCCCATAAAGATTTGCAGCCTGGGAAACCCTATGGGGCAGTTCTACTCCAGTCAGAGTGCATTCAATGGCGATGAGTTTGGTCTGGTAACCCCTGGGCCATGGTGGGTCAATGGTAGAATTCTCACCTCCCTGGATTCAGGAGCCCTGATGGCACCATGGGTTAGGCAATGGGCCACTAACCACAAGATTGGTGGTTCAAACCTACCAGCTGGGAGAAAGATGAGCCTGGCTGTTTCCATAA